CAATGAATGAGTGGAAGCCCAAAATCTCTGTAAATGTTTATGAAAATTAATAAAATATAATTATAGAAAAAAAAAGATTGCATACAGCTGTGAGAACACCTGGGGCAGTTAGATTGTGTCATATGTAGACACTGTAGCAACAGTAAAGTACAACAATAACAAACTAACTCTTGTCTGCTCTTATAATCTTGAAGCTCTTCATAAACAGAACTCTTCCTTCCTCTGATAAAACTACTAACTGAAACAAATCTAGGGAAGGGTTAACATGAATTAGTAAAGCCTAAACTTTATATTCCCATACACTCTCCTTCCCCACCCAAAATATAACGTGCTTCTCCCACATTCAACCCAGTCTTGGATCTAGCAAAGAATTGCAGAGTTTAGGTTCTTGCCATCTGTACTAAAGAACCAATTGTGATTAAATTAGAATTGCAGTTATCATCTTTTGAGAGAGGTTGTCTTAAAACAACAACTAGGGAGCTCTGGTGGCCTAGTGGCAAGAAGCTGCACTGCAATCCCAGAGGTGGATGGTTTGAATCCACCAGATGTTCTGCTAGAGAAGAAGGGACAATTTCTTCCTGTACCAGTCAGATCTGATTTGGTGGTACACACACACACACACACACAGTAATAAAATTATTTAAAAAAAAAAACAAAACAACAACTAGGATTTTATTTCCATCCTTGTTTTTTAAAATAAGGAGCAAGTGGCACAGTGGGTTCTTTCTGGCGGTGGAATCCATAGAGAGTTGTGACGCTGATCCAACGGTCAAAACTCTCCTGTGGTTCAAATCCACCATGTGCTTCAAAGGAGGAAAAAATGGACAGTCTCCTCCTGTGTGTACAGTCTAGGAAACTCAGGGAGGGTCAGCTTTGACTAAGTTCTTTCCATGTGTCCTCTGCTGTGTTCCATAGAGCTGCTGGGAGTGGAATAGCCTCAAAGGCTCTGGTTTCGTGGATTGTGCAAATGTTGCATGGTGAGCAGTGAGGGAGTGTATTTCAAATGAATAAAGCTTTGTCTAAACAGGGAAAGCAAAGCTTTCTCCCCCCAGCCGCTCACCAAAAACAAAGCAGATTAGAAGAAAAGGGAGAGTGGAACACAGATCATAAAAAAGGCAAAATGTACTGGACTAGCAGGGAATGAGGGAACCTACGTGGCTTTTAGTCATTCTTCACTGAACTCACCTCTATGACCCACCTTCCATCCAAACACTAGACAGACCTTAAGGCGAGTTGTAAGACCAAGGAGGGATTCACACTATAGGACAATCAATCACTCAAGATCTGCAGGGTAGCACTTGCCCAGGGAGGAGGCTCAGAAGGCAGGAAGGGCCAGGGTAGAAAGATGAAGGGAATTAAGAGAAGCAAGGAGGAAGCAGGAGAGTGACTGCGACAATATGAAGACTGTGATTAGTGCTATACAACAAAGTGTGTATGAATAGTTTCTCTCCTTATTGCAATGGCTTCAGTCATGGCTCACATCATTTTGTGCTGGCGCTCTGGGACGCTTAGTATTTTTTAATATTTTTTAAATTTTCACATATAAAGCACTTGTTATCCTGCCAACCTCAGGGCGGTTTATTGCTTCTGAAAACCCCCTGGCGGATCAGCTCTGAGTCAGTTTAAACGAGAAGGTGATGAGTTTGAGTTTGGACGTCCTCATCACATCCTAGAGTGATCTGATTTAAAAAGAAAACAGCCTGCTATGAGTGGTGACTGATCCTGGACTGTACTAAAGGACCTCGCACCACTGCTGGACACACTGCATTTGTGGTTCAGTGGCAGCATGCTCGCTTTTGGCACAGGAGATCTGAGTTCAATCCTTATTCAGTGCATCTCAGGTGCAGCCACCACTTGGCTATAAGTAGGGACTTCTGTGTTGCTAAGAGGCTGACCAAGATCCAGCAGAACTTCCAGATTAAGACTAGGAAGAAAGGTCTGTCATTCTACTTCCCCAAATCAGGCAGCTAAAACTCCATGATCAGAATTGTCTGCTGGCTGGCTAATCATGGAGCTGGCAGTGGTTTGTGCCAGAAAGTAAAGGGCTGCTATGAATTAGGGTCTGATTCAACAGCAGTAATACCACTAGCAGTATGAACACAGGCCCTCAACTCTTCCTTCCTGAGTTCAAGTCCTGTCAGTGATGCCTCAACAAATCAACAAGCGATTTGTTCGCATTCAGGTCCTTCTTGCCTTATCCTTCCTGCCCGTTAGATATGTTCACGTTGTATACACTACTTACCATAAGCTCTGAATATGTTGGCCTTTCTTTGGAATTCTTCTTCAAGCTGAAAAGGGAGGGGGAAATCACATTAAAATCTAGAAACCATTGTATTTCCTAGCTTTTCTGACTAGAACTAGGACTTCAGAATCTGCAGAAGACTAAACATATCCACCTTTCAAAAACATACTGCAAGCACAGGCCTCCCATCTTTACCGTCCTCACCTGAGCTTTTTACAAATTGAGTTTTCAAATTAACTGAGTATGCATCAATAGGAAAAATAGATACATGTGTGCATACCTTGTTTGGGGTATTTTAATAATACTAACAAACTAACTTTTCTGATCTGCAGACATTGTATTTCAAAACAACACAGACGCTTGCCTTTAAAGGAGTTTTAATCCACCCCACTGGAAAAGACATTGGCAGTTGTTTCTTATATTACCTTCGTTATCTCTTTGCTATGTCAACTACCTCGGTCTCTTTGCTTCTGGTTTATTTATTGATTTATTTGCCTGAGTGTCTTCCTAACCTAACTTGCCCGAGACAGAAGCAATCGAGCTGGACAATTTCTAAGGCCATCATTGCTTGTTTACGAGATCTCAGCTGAAGGGAATGTGCCCACCCTGGGTGAGTTAGCAAATCTGAGAAATATTTAGAGTCACTCATTTAGATGGGGACTTCTCCTCATTCAGTCAGCTGTATTTCACTAACAGCTGATGCCAGAGGCAAGTGTAATCCAACCTCAGTTTGAAGAGACCTACATTTCCCCCTCCTCAGTCTCAAGCCACCCATCTAATTAAAAAAAAAAAAACAAAACTTAAAAGATACCTGTTACTTGAAATGAAAAATCTCGAGTGAAAGAATGGAGGAAAAGAATGATTCTGAAAACAAATTTGCAAGGCAACCTATAAATTCCTGGGCTCTCTGAATCACAAAACCATACATGGATGGAAAGGATCTGAGTCTGGGATTGAAGGAACCAAAATGTGACTGATTGTTAAGTTGGTGGTGTTTGTGCTAATGGATCATTCTGAACAAATGAAATCTGGGCGGTATAACACGAATACTGCCCGCTCCCTTCCAGCAAGGCGCAGACCTGTCATGGAGGGCGGCAGTAAAGATTCCGAGCGAAACTGTGGTTTAAAACAAAACATAATGAAAAGGAACAGAAACAACAACAGAAAAGGAGGAAGCGTTTGAACCAACACAACTTAAAGCAGCCTACCAGTTTGTTGCAGGCAATGCTGTGGCTGGAACCAGGGAGCGTGGGACAGGGTACAGGTAGAGGTGAGGAGAGAGGTGTCAACCTGGAACTGAGGGGCGGACCTAGGGCCTAGTGACCTCAGTGGCCAGACAACCTATGAGAGAAAGTTTCATCTCAACTGAGGATAACGATAAGGGTGAATTAGGCTGGGGAATGAGAAACGGTCAATGTCAGGCTGACATGATGAGGGGCGTCCGAGTGAGATGAATGGAATTTGGCAGACTCATCTACAGCTGTATATAAACCTATAGCTTGAAATCCTTCCAAGTTGTCTCGAGGGCTCTTGGCCGGAGGTGATTTTGCCTGATGGGCTAATTCTGGAATTCTAGTGGCCTAGTGGGGAGGGAGTTGAGTTGCCAACCCAAAGACGTGTGGTTCAGTACCAATGGCTCTGGGTGAGCTCTGGTGGCCTAGTGGCAAGAAGCTGCACTGCAATCCCAGAGGTGCGGGGTTCAAATCCACCAGAAGCTCTGCTGGAAAAGAAGGGACAATCTCTTCCTTTACCAGTCAGATCCAATTTGACGATACACACATTAAAAATAATAATGATTTTTAAAAAGAATCGAAAAAGTACCAATGACTCTGAGAGCAAAACATGAACAAACTCCTTCTGCGTGATTTACAGCCATGAGGGTCAGCTCAGAGTCACTTCTGACTCCATGACAACGACTTAAGGTGGGATATTTGATGAGTCATGGTGACACCATGCTTACAGTGTTCCAGTGCTAACCTAGAGGTCAGTCACTCCTGGGCGAAGATGTGGCACCTGCTTCCCCAGATCACAGTCTTGGGAACCCTGGGGAGGTCCACTCTGTCCTAGAAGGTTGGAACAGATTCACGGCCACGAGTTTGTGTGGAGTATTTACAGGATATCCGGCATCGTCTGAGGGCATTTTGGGCATTGCAATTAGTAAGGAAGTGTTGCTGAGGTCTAGTAAGTAGGGCCAGGTTGCAGACAAACACCTTCTGCCACACATGACAGTGCCTCACAACAAGGACTCATCTAGTCTAATGTCACTGAGGCTGAAGTGGTGAAAGGGTTCCCACCTGTGCTACGCCTGTCCCCTTCCTGAGGCAGAATTCCCTTAGACGAAGGCTCTCTAACTGGGCTGTCTGTCACTTGGACACATTCCTCATCCCTGCAGCCCAGAAAGTAAAAGCTTTCCTAAGTTCCAGGACTAGTTCACCTAGATACAATCACAGAAGGAGGAGATAAATGGGATCCTAGGAACATCCCCGACTGCACAGGAAACCAGACCCAAACCCAGGGCTACGGAGTAGATTCTGACACACGGCAACCCTACGGACAGAGAAGAAAGCTCCAGGGGGTTGTCGGGGTTGGGAATGTGTATGGAAGCACATGCCTCATCTTTTTCTTATAGAGTGGCTGGTGGGTTTGAACAGCCAACCTTTTAACTAACAGATGGGTGCTTTCTGATTGTACCACCAGGGGCCCCTTGATTGCATATAGGCCCTAAATAAAAAGGAACAAAAACAAACAAACAAACAAACAAAACCCTAAACAGGCAAATGCAAAAAAAGCCTTGAATTCCAGTTATTTGTTCAAAGCAAATTGGAGAAAGAAAAAAAAAAGTCTGCTCTGTAATTTGAACAATTTAACTTGCTAAATTAATTATGAAAAGCACAAAGGCAACCTTAAAGGCACTCTCATAGGCAAGGGGTTGCTTTGGGGTGTGTCTATGTAGATGGAGAAGGGACAGCGTGCTCGGTAACACTGAAGGTCAGCAAAAGTGGGGGGCGGGGGGGAATGTTCAACAAGACAGAAGAGCAGAGGCTGAAACCACAGGCCGAGCAGCAACAGTGCGGACGATGCAGGATGAGGCAGCGTCTTGTTCTGCAGAGCATCAGGTCACAATGAGTCAGAGCTGACTAACCAGCACCTAACAACAACAACCTCTGGCGGGAAAAGTTATTAGTCAATCGCCAGCCACCTCTAACTCTGCATTGAACCTGAAGCACACTCACTGGGACCTCAGCCCACCTTTCCATTATCACGGTTTTGGGGGCAGTACCTGAATCATGGAAGGCCAGGCAGGAAGACAAGCTTTGATTCTGGAGCCTCTTAAAGCAGCCCAGATCTCTGGGGTGAGATTCCCAACCCCCTTCCCACTCCCCCCCCCCGCCCCACACCTCTTCTGTTTCACACAGGAGTAGGGAGACGGGCTCTGGTGGTGCAGTCCACAGGGAGTTTCACTGTTAAGCCCAAGGCTGAGGCTTTCTGGTGGTTCAAATCCACCAACAGGTCTTGGGAAGAAAGATGGACAATCTCCTTCCATGATACTTACAGCCTCAGAAAGCCAATGGAAGGTCCAGTTCTAACTTTAAGGCAATGGGTCTATTTAATGCAAGACACGCTTACATTACACAAGCAGTTATGCTTGGCTGAAAGACCAGGGGTTCTAGTCCATTCAACAATACTATGAAACAAAGGCTATGCAAACTACTTAAAAAAAAAACACAAAAAAAAACGGCCAAGAGAGTCCACAGCTCCAGCCTGAGACACACAGGTTGTGTGAGACGGAATCCATTCCATGGCAACTGATTTTATTTTTTTGTTTACTCAGCAGATAAGATAAAGTGATAAGGCTCTTCCTTCTCATGAAGTAAAAGAACTTTTTTTTTTTTTTAGAAGAGATGTTTTATGTAAGAATGTCTTATCTTTTCATTTCTGGACCAGTTTATTATAATTTCTTGAGAATTGTTTTTTGAAGAAACATCTTTAAAAAGAAAAAGTACCCAGGTAGATCTACCAAAAAAAAAAAAAAGTGGTTTGTTTTTATTTTAATCGGTTAGCTTTCAAAGCTGGGATATATATTGCTTCACACAATCATTATGTTTTGTATAGTCATTCCCATTTATCGTGTTAATAAAAGTAAGCACCATTAATTTTGCTGACCAGAGGCAACCATTGTTGCTGTTGTTGTTATGTGCTGTCGAGTCATTTGCGACTCATAGAGACCCTATGTACAACAGCCCTAAATCCTGCTCTATCCTGTGCCAATCGCATTGCCTCTGACACACCCATCCCGATTACCCCAGTCACTGAATCAATCCACCTCATAAAGGGTCTTCCCCTCCCGCGCTATCCCTCCACCCTACCCAGCATGATGTCCCTCTCCAAGGACCTGTCTCTCCTTACAACATGTCCAAAGTATGTCAGACGAAGCCCCAGAATCCTTGCCTCCAAGGAGCAGCCTGGTTTAACCCTCTCTAGGATGAATCGGTTTGTTTTCTTGGCAGTCCATGGAACATTCAATATTCTTCTCCAGCACCACAGCTCAAAGGCATCAATTCTCCTTCTATCCTCCCTAGTCATTGTCCAGCTCTCTGATGCATAACAAGTGATTGCAAAAACCATGGCCTGTATCAGGCGGACCTTAGTTTCCAGAGAGACACTGTTGCTCTTGAGTACTTTAGAGAGCTCCCAAACCTATGAGGCAACCATTACTCTGTCTTTTTTAAGGAGTCCTCAAACCTCAGGCTGCACAAGTCGCTCTGAGAGAAAATGATGGACAGTCTCCCCCCTTGTGATTCTCAGCCTCAGAAAGCTGATGGAAGGTCAGCTTTGAGTCAGTGTCAACTGGACAGTAATGAGGTTGAATTCCAGAGTGTTTTTTGAAACCGCAGACACTTCTAACCAGAGGCTGTTTTCTTGCTTTACGACCCCTGGTTAGAAACGTCAAGATGTGCTCAAGCCTGATGTACTGATGGAAGATGCAAAGACTGATTATTGAACTACTCTATGTGATAGTACCAATGCTCTCCATCTTCTAAATAG